CAAGAAAACTAGGCAGGTATTGAGGCAGCATGATGTGAGGGAAGACAGCCCTAAGCAAGGCTTCGGACTTCTCATTTCCATTTCTATTGCTAAATTGTCTGATGTTTTGAATGCCACCCATTCTTGTCAACAAAAGAGGCATGAAGCTTGAGCAATAGCACATCAATGTTTACAGCCCATGCCACACTTAAGACATATGCCCCTACCCTTGACAAAATGCTGTGAAGTCTGAAAACAGCCCACCATTATAACAAGCATGATCAATTGTCAGTTCTTTTGAGTAATTTCTTTAATTGATTTAAGGGAATTTTATCAAAATATCTATCTGAGAAACTATTTAACATTTTATGCATATCCTTTGACTTAATTCCAAAATACGTAACCAAAGACACATGATCATGAGTTGGAATAATTGCAAATGTGATAAAATGCTGAATGGTGCATCTTTCATGGGCATTTTCATAAATTTCCCTTGATTTAGAGGGAACTATTTCCAAGTTGTTTAACAATACAGTGAAACATTAACAGGTATTGGCAGGACTTTTAAGCATTTATGAAAGCCCGGTGGCAATTTGCATCACTAGTTACCCATAGCTTATATATTATTTGAGCACCTTACTTTAGGCAATGATCCATTCGATTTACTTATGACACCAGAGGCATTATTCTGCTTTAGAAAGCAAGCCTATTTATGAAGAAAGGCAAAGTTCTTTCTTTTTTTCTTTTTTTTTTTTTGGAGAGACAACTTTCATTTCATTGAACTAGTGTCTTTGAAAACGGATCAGTGGGGTGGATCGCCCACCCACCAATCCCTATCGGGATCAGCTAGATCAGTAATCCGGATCAAGTGGTTTGGCGAACTGGCCAAAACAAAAATATAAAATAATGAAGTATATTGTATATAAGTATAAGGTTATGAACAAACAAAGAAGTCGACAAGCACAAATGGCTAGACCTTGTGGTTGTAATACACAAGGTCGGAGGTTCGAGTCCTCCCTTTTCTTAAAGTTTGAAAATTATATACACTATATGATATGGTATAATATTACAATAAAACTTAAAGAAAACAGTGCAGCTAGGGGGGTTCGAACTTCCGACCTCATGGCAAAGGTGAAGTGCTCTAGCAAAAAAACCATTTGACTTTTATAACATAAATAACCTAATTATATATTTATTATCAAAACGCCTCTAAATACATCAAAAAAATTATGAGGAAAAAAAAAAAGCATTCAAGGCTCAAGGGGGTTCAAACCTCCAATCTTGTGGATAAAACCTACATGCTCTAGCCAACATAGCAACTTGACTTTTGTGATATAAGGTATATTGTATATTTTACAAGAACTACCAATTCAGTACAAGACCTGGCAAGGTCTTGGGCAACTCCCAATCCAAGAACTAGCACGGTCTTGGGCAATTCTTGATCTAGATTGGCAATTTTTAAATCATTGCAACAAAATTGATTCACAATGAACAGCAGCAGAGTTTTTTGGAGATATTAGCCAGTCATAATTTTTGAAATGCAAGGAGAGAAAATCTTTATAAAGCTGGTGTTTGGGGGTATATTGATGCAAAGAAAAATGCCCAATGCAGCATAGGGAGCAACTACTATAGTTTGGAGTGCAGAACTTGACAACAGTCCCAACACTGTCGGATGAGCATGAGACCCCGAAGTTCAGACCGTTAAAGCACTCCATGTTGCCCCATAAATGCAGGGAAAAACGTCCTGAATCAAAAGAGTAACTCGCCAAACACAATGCATATAGCTGACAACTCAAAGTGAGCCCCAGGCACCATGATTGATTAAAATCTGTAGGAATCATGGGAACTAAGGACAGTCAGTTAAAGCAGTCTTAAACCATGCCCAAACTCCCCATAAAATGAGTAGAAATGGCCCTCGGGTGAAAACGAAGGAAATTGGACATGGTCCCATTGTCGAATTGGTAAATGAACAGTCCAAAGCAAAGCATGGTCAACCTTGGTCAAATCTTCCCCAAATGGGTATCCAAAGAGTCTAACTCTAGTCAAGGGTGCCCTAAAGAGGTCCTCCAAAAATCAGGTTGTTCCGATACCGAATGGCTGAGATATAGGCCCGTGAAGTTGAGGTTCATAGAGGAAGCATAATTCAGACCCCTAAGGAGGCCACATTTACAAAGGAAACCCTATAACTCAGTGTCCAAATGGGCTGGAATTATAGGAAGATAGGGACTATCTTAAAAAGCATAAGTTCCAAATTTGAGTTTAATCCGATAGCAGGAAGTATCATTTTTTAACATCCCGTTAAGAGACCACTAATTTTCAAAGATAGAGTACCATACTGTAATAGTGGTCTAGCAGCGGATGGGAGATTTCCACAAATGTATCGAGATGACTTTTTCAAGTTTTGATCATATCTCAAAAAAACCATATCCAAATGAGCTGAAATTTTGATATGTGATTCTTGACTCGAAGAGCTTTCCGTCAGTATCCATATCAAAGGGGTTCCCTCCATGGATCATGAATAGGTCGAATCAAAAAGAATATGATCAAAAGCATGTTCATGTTTAGCAATCTGCAGAACTAGATCAGCCTTTTGATCAATATCGCACAATCCATGAGGTGTTTTAAGCTGAAATTTTGCGAATATGATCCTTACTCAGCCCCGTGCATGGGTTAGAAACAAGATTGGGGATCGAATCGAAGAGAGAAATTGCCTAAAAGTGAAGATTGCTGAATTTTGAAAAACGGCCTAATAAAATGATCATAACTATTTTGGTTGTTGGAGTTTTTCTATCCAAATTTATTCTCGAACACTCTAAAGTTGATTTCCTATAACCTTATGGAATTAGATCACCAAATGGAGGCAAATAAAGGGTAAATATAGAAAAAAAATGGAAAAGAAGCATGGAAGTTCATCAAGTTTGGTTCCAAATGCACAAAAATGATCATAATTCCTTTAAATTTTAGAGTTTTTATTCAAATTTGTGGTAAAATGATTATAGAAAGATGTTATACAATATTATGAAGCCTAAGAAAATATCGATGAAAAAATCATCAAACAAGTGGTGAATTGGATGATGGCATGAGAGTCCAAGCTCTCCAATGGCAAATCATGATATTTTCTCAACTTTGGGCATAACAAACTTGCCCGTTGTGAAAAGTTTGGGACTACTTTTGATACCCATGTTTAAAAGGTGCTCTATAGAAGCCCCTTAATCCTCATTTGCAAAGGATTAGAAAGTTTAGAGAGAAACAACCTAGAGTGAGAAACAAATCCCACTTCCCAAACTAACCTCAAACCAAATCCCAAATCCCAAAATCACCCCAAAAAAAGGAAAATTCCCAAATTAGCCAAAAATATTTTTAAACAAATTTCCCAAAATGCCTATGAACAAACCCCAAATCCCAATACACCCAAAGGTGGGAAAATAAATTTAGACACGTTGACCTTGCCCAGAAAGATCTATCCGCAACAGCATTGAGGCGCACCATCACTTTTTGCAAAAATCAAGCAAGGTGGAGCCATATTCCCCTGCGGGAGACCTTGGTGTTGAATCCTCCTTCAGTTTGCCAATCATCAATCTGGACAAGTGGGCATCCCCAGTAAACCTATACACTGGAGGTCTAAGATGGTATAGGTATATTCCAGCACGGGAGATTTACAAACCCCAAAACCCCCACACAGCCCACAAAAGAATAAAAAATAAAATATATACATATATATAAATGCATATATATACATATATATATACAAGTACTTGTGTACTTCTAATTGAAGTTGAGTTTTTCTTTTATGCCCTTTTCTGGTCTATTTGCCTTTTAAATTGGAGTCATAAATCAAAAATCGCAAATCCACACACGCACACGAGAGGGCACCGACAGTCAGCGGTGATTCTTAGTGCTAACAAAGCTTTTCTGGTCTCCTTTTCTAGGACTCTATCTGTACAAAGATATCCTTAGTGTGATCAAATTGGCCAGTAGGTCGTCTCCAGGACAATTGAGGAATGCAAATGTGAAATGTATGATAAGGGAACCTGGAAACTGCTAATTCACTAGAGACTAGAGAGCACCATCACACAAGAGAATGAGACAATCAAGTGGTCGTTATGTTGACTACAGATAGGATTGCATAGATAGGACCGGGCATGCAGAATAGGAATATTTCTCATGTATAAAGATCTTTGCACCATTTCCTTTTTTCTGTTTGATTCTTTTTATATAAATCATTTTCTGTGTGATAAGACTGTCCTTATTTATGGGTAACTAACATTCATTGTTGTTATGTACAAGAGGTGTAACATCTTTGAACTATATAATATTTCAACAAAAAGTTACCTGAAAAAATACAAAAAGAAGACAAGGCCCTGGTAAGACATGGTTAAATCAATTACAGGAACACAGATTTACGTGCAATGTACAATACTCCGACTGCCAAAGGATATCCACCATGCCTTTTAGATTATTTGATTTCATTAACAACACAGTGCAAAACTCTTGGATGTATATGGTTAATTCCATAGGTTGGTTAGGTCAGATGTAAATTTGTTTCTTGTATATATGCAGCATATCAGTTTTACAAGATGCCTGCTATAATCCTAAACATGAAAGTAGGGCCAAATAGGCAGGCCTCCAACTGGAACCAGCAAGCACAAACTCAACACGACAATTTATCAAAAAAATCAACTGACTCAGGACCAAATCGAGTCCAACCGAATATTGGACAATCAAGTGAGAGAACCATACTCTAGTTGCAGTACAACACTAAGAGGATTTGCCACAATGGAGAGCATGCAAAACAAGAACTAGGTCTCGACCATCTATAGAGTCTAAAATGAAGAGCTTTTACTAAAACACGTAATTAATTGCCTAGTTGCAAGCAAGATGATGTAATTATATCAAACACATTTTCCAAGATCAGCAATGAAAAGATGATGCGACGTAAATATGGTACATGTTATATTTTGGGGCACAAGCAAAGTAATCACATGACATGACATGTCAAATAGGTGTATACAGTGGCATACCTTGTCATATCCGAACTCAAAAGCCTTATCTTCACAGTAAGATCGAAACAATTCGCTTTTCTTAAGACCAATCAAGCCAGAATTCTTTCCATAATATATTAATTCCGGTTCCACTTTAATTGGATCAAATGTTGAAGCACCACCAGCCCTTGCTTTGTTTGCATTCTTTGATACCTTTTGATGCCTTCTAGGTTTCCACTCCATGTACACATCAGATGTTTTGTCACATGTAGACCCACCTGAGAATTTTTAGTTGAACAACAAATGCAAGTAAGAACAAATAAGTATGAAAATAACCACCCGCACTCCAAGTATGAAATCTCAATCCACTATTAGAGGACCAGAATAGACATCAAACTGGTAACGATTCTTGTCTAATCTAATCGTTGGTCTACCTGGTTAGACCTGTCCTCATAAAGTAAATGAAAGGGCAAAGTTTTGTAAATGAAATAACAGTGAGACTAGTTTGACTACTGGTTTTAAAGTCACATCGTGGGTTTTGCCAGTATTACAGGTTTCAAAATGAACCTGGCAAGTTCTAACCCCAGTTACCGAAACAGATGATCCTAGTTGTATTAATTCAGTTACCTAGTGCTTTTTTTTTATCCAATGCACACTCGGAGTTTGATTTCAAGTCCACACAAGTCCTCAGCGGTAGGAGACAAAATGATGTTCCATCAGCAACAAAAAGACGGCAATGATCTCCCAAACCATATTTTTGCAGCATCGTTCGGCATGCTGCCAAACGATGCCTCGCAATGTCAACACCAGTCAAGGAACCCGAGCTGCTTAGGAGGTCCAATATCATACACAGCTTGGCACCTAAATTAAAGACAGAAAAAAAGCACTTGGACTTCAATACAAAGACACCCCTTGCAAACAAGAAAAAATGAAATTTGCCATGCATAATACACACAAGGTAATCTGTATTTGATAAATAGTTTTGAATTACCATAAAACACAAACATTGGTACAAGCAATAAACTGAAAAAAACTGACATCATTATCCATAAGATGATATTTATAGTACAGTAGTTCCTGCCCCATCCCTAAACATGATTAACGTAAGAAAACTAATAATAGAATTCACACATGTATATGTGTATGTGTACATATATATACGGATAATCTACAATTCACAACCATTCAAAATACAAAACTTAATGTTAGAATGAGTTGTGAAGGGTGGAGGTTTTACTTTTAAAAAAAGGTTTTCTTTTGTGGCGTAAGGGTATATAAACATCATCAAAAGACAAGGGGTATTTTTTGTCATCTTCACGTTGAAAATTTTATTAAAGTACAAAGATATTCTACAAATAAAGCTCCAACACACTAACTTTCAAAATACCATTGTAATTTTATAAAAAATTAAAATTCACCCTTACTTAATGATTAAGTTACCTATTAGAATAATTTTTTAAACAAAAAATAATGATTTTATGATAAGCACACCCATCACAACCCATTCTGTATATATAAGTAATATACGTATATGTATATGTATATGTATATGTATATGTAGATGTATACAGAAAATGTGTGTATGTGCGTATGTGTTATATATGTATGTATGTATGTAAATGTATATAAATCAATGGCTTGGAAAACAAATTATGAAGAAAATCTTATCATTGATGATATCCACTTATTATCTCAAATCAATTTCAGAAAAATAGCACTGTCTCAGTTCTTAATAAAACTAAGCTTGTGAAGTTCATATAACCACGAAACATAAATTAAATTGCTCACACAAAACAACCTAAGCAAAACTAAGACAGTAAACATAAAAAAAAGGAAGGGGGGGCGAGGATATAACTTAACAAAGAAAGAGTCTCAAAAATAAAATAGACTATATTTAAAAATAGTTATGAAGCCACTTATAGGAATATGAGCACTGTTGCGTAATCTTAAGAAATTTGACTTGGTTATGTTTAGTTAAAAATAATTAAGGAAATTCATGTTATTTATAAGGAAATAAGCTTCAAATATATATTAGCTTGCAATCCCTAAACAAACTAAGGAGGGAATGGAGAAACCGAGAACTTCTAGTTTAAATTAAACAAAAGCAACTACCACCAGTACTTTTGTTAAAAAGGGTGCCCCGAAGAAAACAAATCATCAAGGATAAGCTGTACTGACCTGGAGCAGCACAAAGGTCAAGAACGTGATCACCAGGAACAATATTGAGTGCCGCAACAGCAGCTCCAGATGCTGCATCCATCCCATAGAGCTGAAACAACAAACATAATTGGCTTCCAATTGCAAAATCCATCAAAAAAAAAAACACTCTAGAAGTGTAACAAGCTAAAGGAACTCATCTATGGGGAAGAAATGTTCATTTAATCGTACAACTTAACGTCTTAAAAATGCAAGCATGAGAAAAGATGAAGAAAATCAAACAAATCAGCATATGAATTAAGGTCAGCAGAGGCCCGGAGAATGGACCAAATATTCAACGGCCTAAAGTGCCTACTATGATAAAAAAAGGGTAAAATTAGAGAGAAGGGGGGGGGGAGGGGGGGGAGGGGGGGAGGGGGGGAGGGGGGGAGATAATGATCACCTTGAAGAACTTCATAAGGTCTTAGGACTTAAAAAATCCACAACAACAGATGTATCTTAGCCAAACTGAAGCAACCACCTCAATTAACCCCAAAAAAAAAGCAACCAGCTCGACCAAAAGTGAGATTGATGAGCAACAGAATGTGCCACTATTAGGTTCCAATGCATGTGACTAAATTGTATTCGAAGGTCTAAAGAAAAAAATCTAACTCAAAAGCTACTGCAACTTCCTTCCATTCTGTCCATTCATATCATAGCCTAAATTCTATGTTAGCCATTAACATTCAAACATGACTTGACGAGCCAGTTCAAACTGCTCCAAATTAACCATACATCAATGAGTAACCAGCTTATGGTGTGTTCTTGCAGAGAGGTCATTTCAAGCATGTTAGAACCTTTAGTTAAAGTATTGCACTTTCATCGAATGAATCAAAACCTAATCTTAGTATTAAAAAAATTAAAATTAAAACAAATGCAATTACTGTTTCCAATTTATGATATCATCGAGGTGTTGGTATTCCATGGAAGGTCCCTATTGTGGTACTTCTCAATGATCCGGCATTGATTTTTCCTCAATCAAAATAGCAATGCAACATTTACCGACTAGAGGTTTGTCATGCATGAATGCATGCATACGTACATACCTACCTACATACATATTTCTCTTTATTTGAATAATGTTTCTTTTGTTTGGGTTATGCACTTATACACCAGCACAAGAACTGCAGAAGCAGCAAAACAACAATCACTCCAAGACAGTAAAGTATCCAATATGAAGCAAAAAAAAAAATGAACTCTGATTTTTGCTGTGAAAATATCATTTGAGTCGTCTATTTCATAATGAACCATAGAGATCACAATAAAGATCCATCATACTTGCAACAAATGCATTGAATAGCGTTACTGTATTGACATCAATAAACAATAAGAAAAACTTCAAATTCTACATAATCAGGAATACTGTTCTACCTTTCCTTGTCGATATGGATTGGAACTTGCTATGTGAATATGGGGTGGTAAAGCAAAGAATCCTGGCAACCAAACAACCTTCTCAAGCCTACGCCCTATCTCGGCTTCAATCTCACCTAATTGAGACTCTACTCCAGGCTTTAGTCTAATATAAATACACAATTGAAATATATGTGTAATTAGATGAGTTTGAAAGTATTTCCAAAACCTTTTTTTTTTTGGTAAATTCCAAAAAATCAATTTTTTGGCAAAAAAAATTATAATCGAAATATCAAAACATTTGCTTGAGAAAAAGAAAATCCCAATATCATCCAAGGCACATTGGGTACAAAAATAAAATTATTTAAACATATAAATATATAGAATTAGGAAATTGTGTAGTTGTAATGTATCTATGTTGACACTGATATGACCTTTTTTTTTTGGCTCGGTGATCCTAGTGTGAGTATTAAAACTGTATAAACTGGAAAAATTTGAACTGGGTTGTTGTACTGAGTTAATACCTTACATAACGAGGTAGTGACTCGAGGTCATCATAAATAGAGGGATCCAATCCATTCCTCTTCAAAAAATCCAAGTAAGCATCAGGTAATGGCAGATTGACTGTGCCATTCTTTATATGAATATTTTTTGTGTCGGATAGTAAATCACCGATGTTGTTTAAAATCTCCATCCAAATACCAGATATCTGACAGTTGATCATAGGCATACATTCTCATGGTAGAAAAAATAATACAAATCATGTATATTTATTGAACGCAAATAAAAGAAAAACAGAATTCAAAGAAACCCATTCTCAAAACAAAGGTAGTTGGTTCAAAATCATGTACCCATGAATATAAAACATATATTCGTAGTTAGTAAACAAAATGCTAATTTGGTTTTTTTCCAAGTGGAACTGAAATCGAACAGCAAAAGTTTGCTCCCTATTTAACATTGAATTCAGAAGATTTTACTATATTTCTTATTCTTTTAAAAAACAATGAATTTTTTTCCAATTTTGGGGAATAAGCAAGACGTTAGGAGAAAAGCAGATAAAAATCTACAGTGCCATTTACAGAAACAGGCGTTAATTGTATGGTTATATACTTATATCAATAACATTTTTAGCAACAAAATCAGAAAAACTTATGCCATTATGTCACGAATTTTTCCCAGAAATTCAAGCTTCCATCGCTTGAATAAAATCTCTTGAGACAAAATATATGGTAGCAACAACTGAAATTTGAGAAATAATTCAAAAATTTGAGAATTTTGGCGCGTTTTTTAATGGGTTTTGTGCAAATTTCAGGATAATAGAATTAGGGTTTCCAGGTTTACCTGTTCAGGCTTCGGAATCACGGATCAATGGCGGGAGTCCCCATAATGTATCTTGAAGATTTATTTTGAAAACAATTTGCATTTTAGCTCGCTAATTTATACTTGCTTTGTGACCAAAAGACCCTTAGTGTTTATCTAAAATGTCTACAATACCCTTATCTTAACCATTTAACCTTCTAGTCAACTTTTTCAGAGTAATTGTCAACGATTTATGGCCTCATATAATGTGTCCTTGAGGGACTATCCGAAGTTTGATCAAAATAATGAAGGGCTATTTGAAATTAAATGAATAAAGCATTGGGATGCTATTCCCAACCGACCGGAGATTTGAGGTGGCTTTAGTAATAATATTAAACCTGAAATTATTATTTTGCTTATATCATTTTCACCTGAAATTTGGGTATACTTCTTCTTATATATGGCCATATGCAAGCAACATGGATGTTTTGCTTATTTCTTTTTATCAAACATAATTTTGGTATTTAATAGTATGTTCATACAATAAATGAGCACATCTCAAACTTTATGTCAATATGATTTGATATTATATATTTTGGGTCATCTAATCGAGACTAGAGACTTCAAATAATGATTGAAGAACAAATAATCGATTTGACTTTCTCGGCTAAAAAGTGACCGTCTTAACTAGCCAAAAAACTAGTTGTTGTGAGCTGGAAAAAGTTTATTTGCAAGAACCTTGTTGAAGTAAGGTGCATCTAAAAAGTATATCAGAAAAAAGTTGTTTTAAATACTGCAATTTTTTAATTTATTATTTCGACCTCGAGATATATAGATTATCATGAAAAAACAAAGATTTCAATTCCCAAAAATAATACATTTTTTAGATAGTTTATTTTCAAAATTTTCAAATATTTATGGAATTGATTGATCTGCATCGTTTTAAAAACTTTAATTTTTTACAATTAGAGATTGGGACTAGTTTTAAAGTTATAATAGGGTTTTTGGCACCATAACAACATCTACCATCAAAGTTTACGGGTGCAGCTTACTCTAATTGTTTAAGGTGGGAGCTTGTATAAATTTCGCCTGTAGGATCTTGGATCAACAAGCTTGCTTTTACAAACCACCAAATTTATTTTCAACATAAAAACATTGTTCATTATCGTCAGGGCTTTTTCGCAACTAACCATAAATTTTGCACATTTTTCAATGCCCATTCTTGGTATTGACTTTTCTATCTCATTTTTTATGCAGAATAAAATCAACTTTAGAAGTACTTATTTGCTCTTGAGCTAGCTTTATCTAAATAAAATTGCAAACTATAGTTGAGAACAAAACTTTTCTATATTTGACTTAGAGATAATGATCATCGTCGATATACTATCAGTAAGGTGTCTTATCGAAATATCGTCGAGTGAACCTCTTTTATAGAAAATTCATCGATATTTTAGAAAGAAATTAAACTCCTGTAAACATATTCACAACGAATAACTTTATCGAATAATAACAAAATATTAATATTAAAAGGAAAAACATCTCATGATAAAATATTATATTCTTATGGTGGTTGTACTTTCCATGTTTCATGTTTGCCATAGTTACGAAAAAAAGATGAATCTTTATAGAGCAATTAGCAAAAAATTGTACATAATTATATTTTGCCAAATCCATTTTTTTAAGCAGGCTGGCAATTTAAATTAAACACGATATTATGGGAAGATTGCTTGACATTATTTTATAGGGAAGCTCTTAATTGTTATGGTAATTTCATATTATTAAGATAATAACACCTTCCTAAATTATCGCAAAAACATTTCAATAATTTAATATCATCGACAATAGTTATTACTAATTTTGGAAAGGCCAAGATGTATATTTCAAAGGGAGATTTATCCTTAAGATTTTACTTTGAAGTCTGTTAATTAAATAGCAAGCAGTTAAAACAACTGCAGACTAATAAATTTTTGAAACATGCATACGAAACATCAAATACCTTGTGGCTTCCAAAAGGTGTTTATGTTTCATTTCAGCCACTCCATTCAGCTGAGGCGTTCCAGCACATGATGTTTGGTGTATAATATGAATATTAAATAAATGCTCAGAAAAAACTCTGTTCATATACTCTGTGCCATTGTCCGTTCGCAAAATTATAATATTGGCATTATATTGAGTGGAAATCAGTTCGAAAATTCTTTGAACATATAGAAAAACTTATGTTTTTTACTTCAATAAATATACCAAAGTAGCACGAGAACAATCATCAATAAAAGTAACAAAATATTTAAAGCCCGCATAAGAATTAATTGGGGCAGATCCCCACACGTCAGATATTAAATAATTATCGAATTTTACGACACACCCTAAATCATCCAATTTGATATATAATGACAAATAATTGTGAACTCTTCATAACAAAGATGAAAAGTCTTATTGTATGCACTTATTTTTTTTAAGAAAAATTGGTCGATAGGGTTGCAACCCTATAAAAACTAAGTAAAGCATCACTTCATAACGCATTGCAAATTGCAATTCAAATATTGAAAAACCATTACATCGGTCATTTTAGCTTGAACATTACGGTTGTAAAAAAAAAAAGACTTCAAATTTAATTTTTTTAAGAAAAATTGGTCGATAGGGTTGCAACCCTATAAAAACTAAGTAAAGCATCACTTCATAACGCATTGCAAATTGCAATTCAAATATTGAAAAACCATTACATCGGTCATTTTAGCTTGAACATTATTACGGTTGTAAAAAAAAAAAAGATTTCAAATTTTAAAAATAATATATATATTGTGATAAATTATCTAGACCATTCATTTCACCCTAAAAATAAATGTTCGCATATATGTAAGATCGATACTATTTGTGGCCAAGAAGTACTTATTGGATGAGGATTCGAGGTGAGGTTTTATCTTGTTTTCATGAACCCTCGTAGAGAGATCAACCTCTACTTAAACCGTGCCATCGCCACCAAAGGGGTATAATCGAAAATTGAGAAATATACATGAGTGAAGTTATATTTGCCCTAGCCCCGTTATGAGTCATGGCCCTGCTTCGCTGTATTCACATGTACCCCTCTCTCTCTCTCTCAAGTCTCTCTCTCCACTTGCTCTAGCCTCTCTCTCTGAAAATATCTATAAAGAGTGAAAGAACGAAAGGGTTTTGAGTCTCCGCTTAAACCCTTGCGGCGAGTTGCAGAAACGTCGGCTGCTTGCTTCTCCTCCTCCCCTCTCTCTCTAAGGTCAGTCTCTCTTCCTCATGATCCCTTTAAGGTCAGGCTTCAGGCTTCGTCTCTGTTCAAGTTCGGGTTTTCTCTCTCATTTCCCCTCTCTCTCTCTCCATCTACCTTCTGTCTTCTTCGTTTTCATTCATTCGAGTTACAGAAGCTTTCATAACTTCATGTTCCTTTACTCAACAGACGGTTTTATTTGTTTCTCTCTCTAAACTGGCAGTATTAATGGTTTCTCTTGATTTAGGGTTTCATGTTTCACACTTTTTTCTCGGGCCTGATTATTGGTATTCATTTGGTTTTTATTTATGGCGCCACTTTTGAGATATTGTGTATAATTTCAGGGTTTTCTTCCTTCCATTTGCATTTTCATGAGAATTTCCGTTATGATTCGTATTTGTTTCAGAAACTCTTAGTTTAGGTCACATTGGTTGTTCTTTCTCATTCTAGGGTTTTGGTTTCTTTTTTTCATGGTATTCTCTGTATACAGATCGTTGGGATTTGTTCTATTGAATTGAGCAATGGGTAAATCCAGCAAGAAGTCCAGTGCAAAGGTACAGTTGCTCTGTATTTGTCTGGTTTAGATTCCATTTTTATTTAGTTTTTATTATTTCGGTATTAAATCATTTTTTGTTTGAATAGTTTTTATTTGATGTTAATTGTTTTTTCTTTAAAGAGATTTGTATTGAGTGCCTTTATTTTATTTTATACCGTTAGTTTTTGCGGCATCTGTTATTCATGTGGTTGGATTTTTGCAGGTTGATACTGCTCCTGTAGCAGCAATCACCCCCACAAAAACCCAGAAGAAAGGTATCATTTTTTATATTTATAGTTTATACCGTCTATTTTTTTTATTTTGCTTTCTAGTACTTTACAGGTTTATTCACTGCAATTCCATTGATTTTATTATGGCTTTTGAAATAGTTATGAGAATTATAAAAATGAAAGTAATGGTGTTTCAATTTAAATAAATAATAAAAACTTCAATAAAGAATTTTGCTCATTGCTTTTGTGAATGGTGTAGGTAAGCGAGAAGCTGAGGATGAAATTCAGAGAAAGGTGAGCTTGAAGAAGGCAAAGCTTGCTTATGAAGCCCAAAAGAAGAAAAAAGATGAAGCAAGTTCTTCTGAGGAATCTTCCGAATCTGAGTCAGACACAGAGGTTTATATCAATATTTTTTATTGTAATTTGCCTTTGTTTATTTTATTGAGCCAATTGAAATAACAACAACAATTTTAATATAAAATGGATTACTATGTTAGTAATAATATGGATGGAAACAATTATGTAGCTTCTGGTAATCTTCCATTAAAAATTTTGTTCTGAACCCAATTGTTGTTTTGTTTAAAATTTCCAAGTCTACTTTTTCTATGGTTGTGATAATGTAGTTCTAAGTGAACGAGTCTTACAAGTTACAATACCAACTGTGTTATTTCATTTACCCACAAAAAAAAAACTCTGTTATTTCTGTATTGTTATGTAGATTACCATCAATGGTTTATATTATTTGCATATGGTATTATTTTCTTGCTATTGCATTATTGTTTTCTGCTGGCTTACGAGCTTGGAGCTTGATTTTGTGCGTCTTTAAGTTGTAAATTGGACACGGAACATGTCCATGTGTTGATCTTGTTGATCTCTAAAGTATGGTTTATTTGACGTTTGTGTACGTGCTGAGAATTTCTTGATGTACTATCGTTGTACATGTGAGAAGGCTATGAGATTTGAGTTTTCCTGGCTAATGAGCTGATTAAGCTTGCAAATCGAGTACTTGGGGATTATTTTCTGATATATGGGGATGTCAGATTATAATCTGAAATGGGGTGCAAAATTCTAAGACTTTTTTTCTTTGGAAGGGCGTGCACATTTTCCTATTCTTAGTTTGGAATTTACTTATTTTGCATTTACAATTTTGAAATTTCATAGTAATGCCTGGGAATTAGGATAATTTGTTCCTGCCTTTTTAAATGTGGAAACTACACATGGCCTTCAGAAGCCCTTGGTATCAATTTGAGACCCATATTTTGGGCTGCATCTGGCAAGAAAAAATTTGAACTTTGATATGCATTGATGCCTTTAAGTTCTATATGGGAATGGGTTTGAGAAAATATGTTTGAATGTTAATTCTGCACATGCTATTTCAGGTTAAAGTCCCAGTAAAGAAGAAGGAAATTCCAACTACCAAGAAGTCAAAGAAAGATTCCAGTGGCAGCGAGTCATCTTCAGATGGGGTTAGGAGCATGTGGTTGTGGTTATATTTGTAGAGAAGCTAGAGCTTAAATTAGTTTCCATAATTTTTTGTGAGTTCACATGGGAAATTTTCTATTATCAAAAAGCAATTATTTCTAGAAGGAATTTCATAGGAACAACTAGGAGAGTTCTAATTTTTTGGTGTAGTGATGCAACCAAGTACAAGATTTGGATATTAAGGTATCTGATGGAAGTAGTGTTATAAAAGGTTTTAATGTTTTGTTATTTTCAGGAGCCTGCTAAAGCACCAGCCTCTGCAAAGAAGCTGCCACAAAAGGGTGGCAATGTGAAAACTGCCAAGAAAGATGAGTCAAGCAGTAGCTCAGAAAGTGATTCTGAGGAGGATGAAGTATGTGACTCCATGAGATTCTTAATAGAAAAATAGCATTAATATGGGAAAACTGTGCATCGGAATATTTGGTTGAAGAAAAAGGATGGAAATGAACAGATAAAAGAACTTTGGATGGGTATGAATGAGAAATTAGGAATTGATTGGCAGATCTCATAATTGGCTTATTTATTTGTTGTTTTCCTATCAGAAACCTGTTGCTAAACCTTCTGTTCCGGCAAGGAATGGTTCCGTGAAAACCCCCGCAAAGAAGCTTGAGTCAAGCAGTTCTGAAAGTGAAAATGATTCCTCCGGTGATGAAGAAGAGGAAGTGAGTTCATATTGTCATCTGCTGACTTTTTCTTTTATTTACTTTGAGAGAGTATTCTATAATCCAACTATTGGGGTATGGCATATTGTACTCCATGGGGCATCTGTTCTCTACTCTCGACAATGGACAATGTAAGCGATGGATTAATTGTTCCTGTGCTGAATGAACCTGTGGTCCTTGGGGCAATTTATCTCCACTGCGATCATCATTTATTGACTGGGAAAGCCTCGTTGGACTATCATAAGCCATACTCTGTTGAATTATGGGAATTTGCCTTATCCTAACAGGACTAACGGTGTTCCAAGTTAGGGTTTTTTTTGGGTGGACCTATGTGCTCACCAATTCTTTATTAATTCAGAAGCCTGCTTCTAAATCTCCTGTTGTGGTGAGTAAGCAAAAGCCGGCAGAGTCAAAGAATGTCTCTGTGAAAGCTCCAGCAAAGAAAGTGGAATCAAGCGGTTCAGAAAGTGACTCAGATAATGATGAGTCAGAGGATGATGAGGTACTTTATACTTGAAATTTTTTTTCGTTTTATGTTCAGACTTTCATTAGTGATGCAATTGCTTATAATTTAATTTACCGATCCCCCATGCAGCCGTCAGTTCCACCATCAAAGAATGGTCCTTCAAAAGCTGCACCGCCAAAGAAAGGAGAGTCAAGCAGTTCAGAGAGCGAATCAGAAGATGAAGTAAATATATAAATTCAAATTATATATTCACATGTGGAACTTATGATTATTAAGAAAATAATCAACGCAGACTTGTGTTAATATTTTCGTGAAGATGCAATTTTTTCTTATATTTTTCTCTTAAATACGTTCTCTTATGATAGAAGCCTACTGCTCCTGCCAAGAAGCAACCAACTGCTTTTCCAACAAAGAAGAAAGCTGCCAGCAGCAGCTCAGAAAGTGAAAGTGAAGATGACGATGATGTGAGCTTGTTATTCTAAAGCCCTATATATTTGTCTTTTTTGCTTTTTCTAATTTTCTTGATGCTGGTTTGTGCTTTTGCCTATACCTTTGTGACTCCTGTAGATGATGGAGTATAGATGATGATGATGATGTGAGTGTGTTAGAGAAATTTCATGTTTAGTTTTACTAATGTCAGATTTACATCCCCCGCTCTCTCTCTCCCTCTCTCTCTCTCTTTTAGGAAAATTGGTATACTTTGTTTTTTCTTATTCTGTGTGTGGTTAATCTAATTTAGTTATACTGGATTGATAGGGCAAAATGGTCAAACTGCGCGTATTTGTTCAAAATATTGATGGATTCATGAACTGTCGTTATGTTTCATGTTTCTGCAGCACCTGCATATGGTCTATGCAGGTGTCGTATAGCTTAATTGGAAATTGGTTTATCTCTATTAATGTTAGTGAAAAAAACTCTCATTAATACCACTCATCCAGGGGTCTGTGGCGCTGGTTAGCCAACCAGCAAAGAAGACGCCTTCTGTTGCAGCTAAGAGTGCCCCAGCTGTAACCAAGAAGAAAGGCGAAACCAGTGATAGCGAAGAAAGTGAATCAGAGGATGATGATGGTGATGTGAGTATGATTTTATTATTAATGTAATTTTCATCATAAAAAAGTTACATTTAACAGAACTGGTCTCAGCAACATGAGAATAATAAAAAAATATTATATTAAGGGCATATTTTGATGTACTTGTTATCATTAGTAATTCATTAAAATTAATCTTGATAATGAACTATTCGTTGTTTGGCAGTGTCTGTCATAAAGTTATAGGCAGTTTTATAGATAAATTTATCTTTTTGAAAAGCAGTTCTTATTTTATTCACAATAATTTGCTGAAAATAACCTGTTTTTTGACCAGAAATAACTAAAAATAGCTGGAGCTAGCTGAAAAAAGTTAAATAATCAAATACGTGATAATAATATGGTGTCGACAAGCTCCCGAACGTGGCCTCATCGAAAGGGCTAACAAACATCATCATTATCATCATCCGAATCTTATCCCTACTATTTATGGTCGGCTACTAGAATCTTGTTATGCTGTTATGCTCTATCAAGGCCCATACCTTCAAGCAGGCCATTGGTCACCATTTCTTTTCCCACTATTTTCATTCATGTCATCCAAGGCTAACAAATAAATTTTATTTTATTTTAGTCTTACATTTATCTAAAAATTGAGGTTTAAATTAATTTTCACATCAGGACCCAAATGTAAATAACAAAAAATATTTTCCACAAAAATATTGATTAAATACAATAAGAAGTATTTTGGTATTTTATTTTAAATTTACTATTTTTACTCTCATTTTGTTTCTTTTATAGAAATTAACTTACACCCTACATTTTGTATAAATATGATTTTGAAACAAAAATAATAAATAAAAGATGATATTAGATTCCGTTTGTTGGATATGGCCTTATTTAATTTTAGCCATTGGAAGGGGGTTTGTGCACACATGAGACTTTCTTATCATATAATACCATGCACAATACAATTTATGTAGCAAACAGCTAATGAGATATTATTATCCCATGTTTATTTGTTTTAGATAAGATTGTCTGTTTCAGATAAAGGTAATTACGATCCTACGAGCCTTAGCGCAATTGTCTATATGAGTTACCAGTAGGAGAATGTTGGCTGTAATTGGACTCATTGGCAAAACAGTGTTTGTCACTTCTATAATAGAAGAATTCTAATAATAGGATAGGATAGAAAGTCAGGGTGTAAGCGTAGCCGACACAATTATTTTTTGGAGGTTATAATGATGGGTTGTGTCACATTGAAGATGCCTTTTTAAGTTTTTTATCTTCATTTGAGCAGAGTTCTAGATTTGCTTTTGAGGGGATTACAGTCTATTATGACATTCTTGAATGTGGCAGGAACCTTCTAAAGTAGCACCCCCTGCAAAGAAAACTCAGCCAACTGCCGCTAAGTCACAACCGGCAGTGACTCTCAAGAAGGGAAAAGAATCAAGTGATTCTTCATCAGAAGGCGATTCTGATGATGAAGATGTGAGCATCTTGTTCGTTTTTATTTTACTTTTTTTGGTTGTATTTGGTTCCTTCGAAATTGCTGGTAGCTTGTTCAATGTATATTGGCTTATTCTGCCTACTCTTATGTGTTTCAAACACTCTTGTTATTCTTTTGGAGCACTTTTCTTAATGATCTTTTTCTGGTTTTTTACATTATGTATTCAAAATATTGGACATGAATACATCATCTGTTTCTACTTTTTAACAATATTCCTCGTAGTGATTTTTATATAAGAAGGCTTCTCTGACAATAGTTTATTTTTCTTGGATCTCCTTGACTGAGAAATAGCTCTTGTGTGTTCTTACTTATAAACGGTTGTAGAACCAATTGTGGTTTGCATAAGGTTACAACCTTAAACAATCAAAGTTAGGTGCGCCTCCAAATTTTATCATAAGATGTAATTTTGGTGTAAAAAATTCTTAGGATGTCTAGAGAATATAATTTCATGTCTAATTATAAATTTTAAACTCCAAATATGTTCCAGATCATGTAGATCTATAAGCACATGAAAATCTTGAAAATGGACGGTGCCAGATGATGTGTTGCATGATGCACTATTTTTGGGTCCTGAAATCTTTCTTTCTTCATATCCATATATCTCGATGTTGAGATGATAAAGTAGAGGATTTTCAAACACCAGAACAGCCTTTTTCGATGGATTTTGAGGTGCACCTTAATTCTACTCTTTAAGGTTGCAACGTTATATAATTCTTTTCCTTATTTAAAAATATTGAGAATCTATTCCCTTTCAAGCTATATTCTTGATTCATGATTGGCATATTGGGTTGTCTTATTGTTAAATTATAATTATAAGATTGCCATGATATGCTAGTCCAGATGTTTGCCTTGCCCGTGTCCTTCCTTATTTGTGGACTTCTATACTGTTTTCTTCTTCATATATTTGATTAAATTAATTTCTGCTTTTTGTGTTTTTCTTTTAGTGCATGGCACTATATTTTATTTTCATTAACTGATATTGGAGACTTAATCAACTGTCAGGAGGTTTCAGAGGAGTCAGAAGAAAGTTCTGATGATGATTCCAAACCACCACAGAAGAAGGTATATCCTTTTATCATTGATGATGCGGCTCCTTTGTTCTTGTTTATCTCATTTATATTAGTGCTCTTGGAGGCAGATTGTTAAGGGAAAGTGTAACATAATTGCAAGGACCGTAAGAAAAATATAGCTTTTAGGGTTACACTCTCCATTGAAATGATTGGTGGTGGTGTTGGGTAGGTGTGTGTGTGTGAGAGAGAGAGAGAGAGAGAGAGAGTGGTACCATCAGTGATTCATTGGGCTCCACTCTCTTTGTTGCTGTTCATGTCTAAAATGGATGGTGATGGATTTCCCATATTAAGGTTAATAATAGAATTTCGGAATGGTTACTCCACTGTGAATATGGATATTTTTTATTAACATTGGAGAAATACTTAGTAGATATTGATATATGTTTGCAGAATTGCTATGTATGTTGCGTTATTGGTATGTGCGCATATTTGAACACAGTTTCTTGTTGGGAAAGTATATTATAATCCAATTTTATGATGGATTTATTGTTCTTTGGGTCAGCACTTTCTATGAGAACCTTCAAAAAAATTTTTTTTTGGCCATCTATTGAGATGATGGGCAGTGACAAAGAGTCAGTAGGGTCCTATAGAACAACCCCAGTTGTGAGTTCCATCTCCCATCATTGTCCCACTTCATTAAATGGTGATTTACATGATGGGATATGGTTTTACTTCATTAGGTTAAAGCATACTTCCCTTTTTTTAGCTTATTTAAGTTGTATCCTTAGTTGTGATGCATTTGTTCAGTTCATTTCTTAGGGAATTGCTGCTGCTGTGCTTAATTTTTAATGGGATCAATTTGATTCCATGGTTTTGAGTAAAAGTATTTAGTTTTATAAGAGAAAAGAGTACTATCGACTACCTTTTGGTATTCGTCTTTGTGGATTCGTTTTCTTATTAAAACTTGTGTTGGGTTTTGCCATATGTGTTTGGTTGCCTGAAACCTATGCAAAAATGTGAAGGCAAAGAAGGATGGTGATGTAGAATTGAAAGAAGCGAGTCAACATCCCGATGACAAGAAGATGAATGCCACTACAGAAAAGAAACAGGTATTCTCCTAGCTGCATCCCAAATAAAGACACAGTCTCTCTCTTCTCTCTCACTCTCTCTGACCTCTTTTATGCCCTGCTTTTCCTCTCTGAACTCTTTTGTGCTCTGTCACTGAATGAGAAATTTTCCACAGCCCAAAACTCCTGTCACTCCCAAGTCTGGAAATGAATCGAGGACACTCTTCATGGGCAATCTGTCATTTTCCATTGAGACCACAGATGTGTATGTGTTCCCATCTTCACCTCTGAACTGATTTCGCTCTTGGATTCTTTGGCTTCTTTTGATTTGCTTCATCTTTGTGTTGGCCATTTGGGTGTGCTCCAGGGAAGAGTTTTTCAAGGATGCCGGAGAGATTGTTGGTGTGAGACTTGCATCACATCCAGATGGTTCTTTCAGGGGCTTTGGGCATGTTGAATTTGCTACTAACGAAGCAGCCCAAAAGGTATATAACATTTTCCATGCTTGTATTTCTGGATGCTAACAGCTTCATATCCCTTTTGTCGAACACCAAATATTTTGTTGTGTGTGCATCCTAAATTAGAAGCACAGTCCTAACCTCTGAAGATTTAAACCCTTAATTGAATAACTAAATTTTACCATGATTAAGAATGTCTTTATTGGCCGAATATTGCTGCTTACGGCACCTTGCATGGTTTGCCTTTTTTAAATATAATTTTTGTTTTTTATAATTGAAGACTAATGAATCTTACTTTAAGGGCATTTACATTATAACCATTGCTTAAAATGATGGGTGATGATGCTTACGGCACCTTTCATGGTTTGCCTTTTTTAAATATAATTTTTGTTTTTTATAATTGAAGACTAAACGAATCTTATTTTAAGGGCATTTACATTATAACCATTGCTTAAAATGATGGTTATGATGGAGGATGGTGGGACTTACAATTCTAGTGGATCCCACTGTCTCCATCAGCATACATTTTTCATTGTCCATTTCCATCATATTAAATTTGTTTTTTGCCTAATTGAGTCAAATTGCTGTGCTTTCTTACTTGGATCCAGGCACTCAAATTGAATGGTAAGGACTTGCTTGGTCGCCCTGTAAGGCTTGATGTAGCTGGGGAAAGAGGCCCACGCACTCCTGGAACCGGGTAATTTTTTCTTCTGATTTTCAAGTGTGAGTTTTGGAGTTCAATTTCTAGGGAAGTATATGCCATGGTCAAATGGAGTCTTCTCTCCAAAAGGAACATACATTGTCTGTTATGGATGTTCCTGATGAAAGGTGGGCATTAACTGTGATGGGATTAATGGATATTCAACCCAGGTTCAGTTAAGCTCCTCTATTCATCGCTGGGAACGGATGATGTATGTCCCTTCATCCCTTCAAAGTACCATATATCGTACTCAGATTTGGTATACTTCCCCTAATCTGTTATGTGCACGTTCATTTAAATTATCGGAAAATAAGGCGAAAAATTGGATATGAAAGTGAAATCTCCATGGAAAATGAAAAAACTGCGGCAGGGAGAACTCTTTTCAGAAAACAAAGGGTGGTTACGGTGGTGGGTCGACCATTTACGTCAAGGGTTTTGACAAATCGCAAGACTTTGACCAGGTAAATCTTTCACTTCATTACAGTTTTATCATTGGGAAAGCATGGTGTTGAGTACTCTAAAGGAGTCTCCACAGTTCATTTCTCATGAGGGATGAGGGAGATTATCTGTAAATTCCTCTGAGAAATGGATGGAGGTTCTTTAAAGTAATGTCTACCATACTCGTGGATTTTTTTCATTCTCTACTTTTATCATTTTTCTTTTATGTTTGCTAGTTTCTGGTTTCCTACTTTTTATGTTCTCTGTGGTTTGAACTTGCTCTGGCTTTCTAGATTCGAAGCAGCTTGGAGGAACATTTTGGGCAGTGTGGAGAGATTACAAGGCTAGCAATCCCAAAGGACTATGACTTGGATGCACCCAAGGGGTTTGCATCTTGCCTTTGTCTTCCTATCTTTAGTTCAACTAAGTAATATTTTTCTAGCAAAATATTTTTTCCCCCCTCCATAAATCATTATCATCATCATCTGCACCTTATCCCAACTATTTGGGGTCCAGTTTATACGAAATCTGTTTTGCTATTCCCCTCTATCAAGGGCCATACCTTCAGTCAGACCATAAGTCACCATATCTTCTCTTCTTGCAAAATCATTTTATGCTAGTGCATAATGATACACATGATTTATGGTGCTTTTCGTTTTCCTTCTCTTATATTTTTTGTTATAGTCTTCTTTTTCTTATCTATCTCTCTCTCTCTCTCTCTCTCTCTCTCTCTCTCTCTCTATCAATACATAATACTATGATTTTGGAATCTACCATTCCTATTCATACATCTATCACCTTGTGTCCTTCATCAATGTATGTGCCGAACCTTAATCCATCTCAGCATATCCCTGCTGTTAACAAAGACTCAACTTATTCCTTGTTGAGGAAGGACTGTGGATGAGCCTAATCTTTCTGTGAACAATATATGTCTTGTGTATGTTATACTTCCTTCAACTCTTTTAAACATATATTGACGGACTGTTCTAACATATCTAACAATTTTACTTCATAATTTTATCTTGTTGCAACTGTGAAGTTTATACCTTTGGAGAAAAGGTTTCTTTAAGAAAAGATACGACTCCTCTCCCCACATGTAAAAAGAACAGTTACTACATTATTGTGTCATCTACATTTTTTGAATTTATACTTGTGGAAATTTTATCTTCAAAAAAGATATAACCCCTTTCCTCTTTGTCTGTAGTGCATTTTCCTTTCCCTCCCTCCCTTCCTCTCCTGCTCCACCCCCCATCTCCCTTTCTCTCTCTCTAAATTACTACATTGTTACCCCCCCTCCCCAGGTCTCTCTCTCACTAAATTACAACCTTGTTGCATCCTTAAAATTTATGCCTTCTCGAAAATTTTTGAAAAAGATGCGACTTTTTGAAAAAGATGTTACTCTTTGTTTCCTCCATCTCTCATACTTTTCTTCTTCCTCTCTCTCTATCTGTGACTGTCTGCTGCTGCTCTTTGCAGTATCGCATATATGGATTTCTCAGATAGCAATGCGCTTTCAAAAGCATTGGAGCTTAACGGGTCTGACCTCGGTGGTTATTCTCTCACTGTGGAGGAGGCCATGCCTAGAGGTAGTGGTGGTGGTGATGGAGGCAGTGGCAGAGGGGGTAGCAGGGGTGGCCGTGGTGGCCGTGGGTCCTTTGACCGTAGTGGTGGTGGCAGGTTTGGTGGCAGGCGTGGTGGAGGGACTCCAAGAGGTGGAGGCAGAGGTGGGAGGGGTGGAGGCCGTGGTGGTAACTTTAACAAGCCCAACTTGGCTGCTACTGGCACTGGTGAGTAAAGCAAGCCCTATTTTGCAACTGTAGTCTCTCTCTCTCTCTCTCTCTCTCTCTCTCTCTCTCTTTCTTTCGTCCAATGTATGCGCTCACTTCCTGATATGTATTTGTTCTGTACTATGGTTATATAATCCATATGAGCACGTCGAATGCGTGGGTTCATTCCCATAAGTTCAAGGGGTTAATAAATGGACAGTGGTGGAGATAGTTGGATCCTCCATTTATCATTATGACCACATTTTTACTTGTTCATATGAATCAATCTTTCTACATATCACCAGAGCGCGTGGTAGTAATTTCTATCCCTGAACAGTCATGATTGGAGTAGGACCTACCACTTGCATCATGTCTTGTTACGATGGGTCCACCTTCTCCATCACGTTATGCACCCCTTGGTTGGTCGGTGATGGATAGAGCTTGTTAATATGTTTGTCTGATGTGTTCCTAACTTCATATAGATCATAGTATACTTTCAATTTAACCATAGGGTGTATGGCTATGATTTCCTATGACTGTTCAATCAATGGATAAATCATAATGAGAGGGTGCCATTTGGCTCAAGTCATGTTCTGATGGGTCCATTCTCATCACTGTCGATTTATTTATTGTATGGTGATACTGCCTATGATTTTAAATTCTGTATGGTGAGGTGGATCGTATGTTGTGATGGACTTTGGGAAAACAACCATTGGGCGGATCTTCTTGCCACTCTCTTGGGACATGGCGATGACACAGGAATATGGTTTTCCAAGACTGTCAATTCATAGTATGCTTTGTATGAACTTTTTAAGGGCGTTACAGAAGGGATGATTTGTTCATTTTGGACATAAGAAAATATATTACGAGGATGTATATGTTACGAAATATATATCACTTTTGGTGCATGGTGTCATGGTCACAACCTCCTTTAGTTGTACGAGGTGGAATAAGATGGCTGGGGGTGTGCCATTGATCTTGCTTGAAGTTCAAGAAAGTTTTCCTCGAACTTTATGACATACCATTACCCACCAGATTTCACATCCTATGGCTAGAGGTGATTGTGACCTTCTACAAAATCTAAACAGTCTTGTAGAATACATCCCGTTAATTATACATCGAATGTGGCCTTTTTTTTTTTTTGGCTATGCTAATACACCATAGTTATCAAGATTGAACCTGACCACCCAGTCTGATCGGTTGGACTGCTGACTGGTGCGGTGGACCAAGTTCGGTCTATAGCAAAAATCTGATTTGGTGGCGTTTAAAATAACCGTTTGACAAGTTTTAGGCTTTTAGCCGGTCAGACTGTGCTCTTTTGATTGATTCGACTGGATGAACAAAGTTGAGAAACCTTTTTCTAACATATTTCATATTTTCAACCTATAATTCTTATTTTTGGTATTATTTTCAAATTTGGTTCAAGGATCAAAGTGGTTTTGATTCGACCCGACCCCTCCCTAGATTGGTGATTGGTGATTGGATCATGGTAACTATGGCTAAGATATTGCCATTAGGTCCTCTCTATCTCTCTCTCTCTCTCTCTCTCTCCCACACACACATTGTCTGACTTTCATTTGGAGCTCGATGTGTCTGTTAGTTTGTTGATGCTTTGGGATTGAGTATTAGTTTGTGGGCTTTCATGATGTGCAGGAACCAAGAAGACTTTCGATGATGATGAATAGACGAGTTGGATTTTACACCTTCCCAGATGGAAATTAATTTTGTTTGCTCAGTGTTTTCTTGGACATTTAATAGATGTAGTAATTGTGAGAATAGGTGGATGTGCAAGTATGAGAACTCTTGAGATTTAAAATCATGACAAGAACTCAACATAAATTGAGAGCTGTTTTGGTCCCAATGAGTAGAGCCATTTTGGTATCAAGCTCTTTAGTTGAGTTTTATTGTAGAGCCATTTTGGTATCGGGTTCTTTAGCTGCTTTTATCACGTTGAATGCTTGGCCTCTCATCTTGGCTTAGTGAGAGAAATACGCAGAAAAGAGATTTAGAGAAGAGAATAATTCTGAAAGCTTCAAAAACAGCTCTCCTTTGTCTAGGAACCTCTATATTATCGCTTATTCATGCCTTTTTCGAACTTGTTTATAGGACCCATGACTGCAATGTGGCATTCGTGAAGCCGTGGGTTTCAATTTCGGACAGAATACTTGTGCTGTTGACTGAGAGCAATGCTTTAGAGAACAAGTGTCGATTAAATCACCTTTTTGGGAGACTTGGTTCCTTTAATATATGGGAATTCGGTGGTTTTTCCCAAGGAATTAGTTGGTTATTTGATAGAACTTGATCTCGTAGGGAACCACCCATGTAGCCGCCCCATATCTTATTTTTTACTTGGAATTCTTAATTTTGTTCAAAATTTATTGTACTTCTATTTGCTGATTCTCTTAGCTGGACCAGTTTCTCGGATGGTCAGTTCACCTTGGTGATCCAGGTTTTTAAACATTGACTGAAAGGAATAAGCTGTCCCCTCGTTTCAATTGGGTATGTCTTAGCTCCATGGTATATTAACGGCCATTTCATGCAATGTTTTAACGATTCATTGTAGTGTACTAGGCGATTTTTCAAAAAAGAAATGGGTGCTTCCTGATTTACCAAATTTTCGAAGTCCGTGTTGTGGTGCGCTATTTGGCTCTTGTAGTCTCTTTCAGGCTCATTTGGAGCCATTTTTTAGACACTTAGTGTTTATTAAGACAGCTTTTTGGTTATGTAAAACTTCTGTTCGTTGTCAACTTATTTCTAAATTGCAAAACAATAATTAAAACTTAAGAATTAATTATAGGACTCCAAATGTTGGGGATAAATTGTACTCCTGAGGGAGCATAGTTTATGTGCACTTCCAAATTTATGATTTAATACCCCTCTCTTTTGAAGAATCGTTGGGTGGTTGTTCTTAATGGTATTGGAAAGATTGGTTCTTCAAGTGTTGATTTCCGCTAAATGTGGAAGAGGATATTGCATCATATTGTAGAGATAGAGATGAATAAGTGAAAAACTTATAATTATGTATCAAAATCATGAAGTTCTGGTTTATGAATCTGCTGATCCTATTCCTTGTTGGAACCTGGAATCAGTCCGACTTGGATTGGTTTATCTTGTTTTGTTAGAAAATCCAACTGTTTGGTAGGGATGGTAGAGGGTTGGGTTGGGTCGGGATGTGGGATCCATACTTGGACCTGGAGCTGAACCCGACCAAAAAATAAAGTATCTATATATATAAATATACTTAAATATATTTCATTAGGAAAACCTTCATATAAGGTTGCGACCATAATTAAGGTGTATTTAAGAAATCCCTCACCAAAGGTTGTTTTGAAGTTGGAAAACTCTTTAATTCATCATCTCGAGTTGCAAAAATAGTATGAATATAAAAAGAAAAAGATTTCGAGTCCCAAAAATAGTGTATCTTGCAACATATTAACTGGATTGCTCATTTTCAAAAATATTTTAATTATAGATGAAATTGGATTCTCAAGCCATCTTAAGAATTTTTTACACCAAAATTATATCTTATAATAAAATTTGGTGGTGCTATCTTGATTTGATTGTTTAAGGTTGTAGCCTTATACAAGCTACACCGATTTCATAAATATATTCATGTGTTATTTAAATATTATAGCTATAAATATATAATTATATTTATTGAAATAGCGTATATTAGATATTATTTAAATATCTGGGGTCAGTTTTGAGCCCATATTTTTTGTCTTAGAAATGGACGACTTATTAGGCACTTACAATATGAGGTATTGTGGTGTATATTGTTTGTGGACGATATAGTTTTGATCGATCAGACTCGAAGCGTTGTCAATACAAAGTTGGAATTTTGGAGGGATGCTTTATAATCTAATGGATTTTAAAATAGCTGGACTAAGACAAAGTATATGAAATGCAAGTTTAGTAATGATAGGAGTATAGAGAAGGAAGTAGTTAAGATTGACGGCCAATAAACACAAAAAAGATCGCATTTTTGATATTTTAGGTCGATAATCCAATAAAATGGAGTGATTGAGGAAGATATCGTAGATAGAATTAGAGCTGAGTGACGAAGTGGAGACGCGCAATTGGAGTTTTATGTGATCGCCGCATTTCAATAAAGTTGAAGGGCAAGTTCTATAGGACAACTTTGCTTATGGAGCAGAATGTTGGGCGGTGAAGACACAACATACCCATAAGATGAATAAATTCAGGAGAACTTAGGTGTGGCTCGAACAGATGATAAGCTGAGAGAAAATAGACTTACGTGGGCAGGTCATATGCAATGCATACCCAATACAACACATGTTAGGAGAAATGGGTTAGTTTAAGTAGAATAATAAAAAAAGGCAAGGGTAAGACCCAAAAAGACACAATTGGATGAAGTGAGACAAAAAAGAAGGGACTTATGACCTCATTGAGGGTACGACCTTGATAGATCATAATGGTGGAGCTACACAAATTAGTTGGGTTTGACGATGATGATGATGATGAACTATTTGGGTTGGGTCGAATCCAGGTTAGGTTATACATACCCAGACCTGACTTGCCGAGTCCAAATTTTTTACCCATAGTCGGACCCGATGGGTAGACCTAGGTTAAGTCTACTTGGTGGGAGTTGGATCCGAGTGCATTGCCACCCCTAGTATTTGAGAGCTGAAAAATTCGGATTAGTCGAATCGTCAAGTTTCTGCCCATTATAGTTTTTTTTATAAAAAAAAATATTGTTTTTGTGAACCGATTATCACAACAGAGAATCGGTACAATTCATCAATCTGGGTAGGTGATACGTCGATCCGGACCGGATTTCCAGAAGGCTGATTCACTTGGCTGAACCAATTTTGAAACATTAGATCACTGGATGAATAGGATTGTGCCCAAAATTTGAAGTGAGGCCTTAGGGATATAATTTATGATTGATTTATAAAATATGAGGTTTGTATAATGCGCCCTCTGCGAACTGTTTCGAGTGAGGCCATATGGTTGAAACATCTGAAGCAAGGTGCACCTCTAAATTTACGTGGAGATATAGATTTGGTATTTAAAATTTTACGATAGTTTAAAAATATATTTTTATCCATAGTTGTGAAATATAAAATTTTTAAAAGGTACAAATCGATAGATCGATAAACACTTGAAAAACTTGAAAATAAATAGTCTAGATAACTTTTTACAAGATGCATTAATTTCATGACTTGAATTTTTTTTTTCTTCATATCCACGCATACCAAAGTCAAGATGATCGGTTGGGAATTTTTTAGGCGAACCTTATTTTAAGAGTACAAAGTTGCATTTGTATAAACGTTTTCCTTTAACAGGGCCAAGAACATTTTGTGTGCCATATTTGGGCTGAAATAAAAGTATTGAAAAATGGCGGAGCGTAAACAGGTGCAGCTCTCACACTCCTATTAGATTTTGCATAAAAAATGGCATTTTTCCATGATATAGGCTATGATTCTTGTTATTTTGAAAGTAATTGTTGTACTCCATTTTTTTTATAGAGCATGTATACTACATTCCCGCGAGAGCATACTATATTTACTCCGTCGGGTAAATGACTCATTCGAGATGATTTTCGATCTAATATATTGAGAGCCACCTAAACATCACTTTATTATTATTTTAAAAATAAACATTTGGATTTTAAATTTTTTAGCACTTACATCTCAACCTCAAAACAATCTCTATTCAATTTTTTAGATTTTTTTTTTTCTAAATCCATATAGAGTGCCACATGGAAGAACTTTTAAAATTTGATCTATGGATTGAAGAAGTTATATCACCCAAAATTGGGGTTATGAAGGTACTCCTAATTTAGTGTAACCTGATGGAATAAATGGACAATGTGTTCCTATGGGAGCACGAAATATTTTTGATTTGGTAGTACTCAGTCATTAAGTTATAAAACTATTGTGGAGAATAATGGTTTTATATTACTGAATCATTTGCTTTTGGTACAAAGAAGCCCCAATCATAGTCATCAGATGTTACATTTGACAAATAGAAGTTTGTCACAAAATTCAAAAAATATTATTTTATGACTTTGTGCTTTGTCAATGATATTATTTTTAATTATCCGATTTTACATTTAACAGTTAATAATAATTGTGAACCTTATACTAAAAGTAAATGATCTTATTATATTTGAAAATAACTACATGTATTTATTGCACGGTTCAATATATCCTTACCCCTAGCAGCTATTATTCATGTGATAACACCCATTTCTAAAACCCTGAGTGATGGGTATGATGGTTATTTTAAGAGATTGTATATTGAGACCATTCATTTTTTTGTATAAGGAGGCCACAAAGCGTTCTTAGTCATTGGACATAAACTCCGACGTATTGAAGTGTATTACAACATTTGTTAAAATTTATTTTGAACTTCAAGTCCAATGACACATTCGTAACTACCTAATTTTTAAGCGTTAATAATAATAGTGATATCCTTATTCCAAATGCAAATGGTCTTATTGTGTAAGTCCGCTTTTTTTTGTGAAGGGGTTCTAATAAGGGGCAATTTCATATTTATCATTTGTGAGAAGGGCAATTTACTCCTAATATACTTTTATACATAGTTATCAAAATTTGATGATACATGCCTATGTGATCAGTTGCATCCTAAAGTAAAAATCAGGTTTGGGTTTGAAATCACTCAAAATTTATATTTGGCTGGTTTTGTTTAGTGGTGAGTTTTATTAGCTATACCAATTAAATAACTTAGCAATTTTTTTACTTAGTTTATTTTTTAGAAATTGAGTTTAACCAATGTAATAGTTTTAACTAGATTAAACCCCACACCAATTCGATAGCTAATAGCCAATCATATAGTACTAGGCATAAATGGTTTGGTTATTTTGAGTAGTAGTAAACTTGACTATGACACAACCAATTGACATTTCTTATACTGTCTGATTCATAAAATGGATGGTGAATCTATATCGTTCTTTCCACTAATTTTTTTGACAAATATATGTTGTCAAAATTGCCTTATAAATTATCCATTTTTATATTGAGCGTATGATACGATGCTTTTCATATTGGACTTGTGATACGATGCTACTAAGATGAAATATGGTTCATTGGATAAGAAATTAAGATGAAATATGGTTTATTGTGTAATTTCTTTTCCTTTGTTTCTCATGAAATGCCACTCATCAATTTGGGTTTTGAGATTACAAGATTAGAGTCTCAGATTAGTAGCAATAGCAAGATAATGTGCATTGCATATGCAACTATGATAATATCAGATCGAGACTTATTTGAATTCGATTAAGTTTAGAGCTAGATTTCTCCAGGAATGATTTAATTGCTTATCGAACGTGTCTAATAGAAACAAGAAAATCGCATAATATACCTCTTTAGTCTCCTTCAATGCCCTAACATATTTGGTGATTCAATATAATCACCAACCTTTCTAGTTCGATAAAGAAAATTATCTTCAACTTTTAATATTTAAATGTTAGCTTCACAAATTAGGTGAATGTTATATAGATAAACGTTTAAAAGATTTATAACAAAAAAACTTATCACAACACAAGTATGTTATTCCATAACCGGACATATCAAAAGCATGTGATTCTAATTCAAGAGTCAAAAGTACACAAATTGCTATTAACATCACATTTTACTAAAGTAAAAAAATGGAGGAGCAAAAAAAAAAAAAATGGTCCAAATTAGCAATCCTAAAAATTAGTTTTTGGCACGGGCGATCCACCCCACCTATTCAAGTTTTGAAGCATTTGCTACTATTATTCGTGTCATCATGAAGCTCATGATTTATTGTCCCCATATTGTAGGCTTCCCTTTAAATTTAATTTTATCTCCAAATTCTAATACCTTGGATTACACTATTCTAGTACATCGTATGACGCATTGAACCATAGTCCAGCCTTTGATATTCGACAAAGATCCATAATAACGCTGGATTACACTATTCTAGTACATCGTATGACGCATTGAACCATAGTCCAGCCTTTGATATTCGACAAAGATCCATAATAACGCAGTTCATGAAGTCAATTTTTTTTAGAAATCCCAAATCCGTAGTTTAGGAAACCCAATTACCCAAAAAATAGACACGTTCCTATGCAAATAAGAGAGTGAATATTACATGATTTGTCAAACAGAGATTTTTTAAAAAATTATTTTTTATTATCAAAATTGACAAAAAAAATAACATTAGATCTCAAATCCAAACAAATATTTTTTAAGGTGACGGTGCACATGGTTGTCCATGCTCCTTCTTTATTTTTGTGCTTTATTTTATTTTTGTCTTGCTTTAGTACTTTATTTAATTTTTTCCTTAGTTTTATTGTTTAAGTAGTTATGTTACTCATGCTTTTTTTTATTTTGGTTTCTTTTGGATTTCACATTAGCTAAGCTATCTCGGCCTTAGATCTGCAAAGATCATGTCTTTAAGGTTGATTTGTTTGTAAATCAGAATTGGACTTAACCGACCTCTCTCAAGTATTTAAGTTATTAATTTTAGACAGGTTCTCAGATCATATTGTTAGTTTGGCTACACATGAATCTTATAACTTGTGTAATATACAATTGTATTATGGGAAAGCTTTTTATGTTCTCATTGTAATATAGAAGTTCTGTCCTCTCCCTACCATCCAGCCATCCATTTTTTATCAAGAGAGCCACTCACCATTTGATCTTAGATCCGACATCGTAAAGTATTTTTTTTTTGTTTTTTTAATACAATTTTTCTGAATATGAAATTTGGTCGTGCCATATTCTCATTGGGGCGCACCTATAAAAAATATTAACAATAATTTGTTAATAAAAAATAATAACCAAAATACCCTTTGAAATTTTTAAAGGTATTTTGGTCATTTAATTTATCCAAAATATTGTTTTTTTATATTTTTTGTCAGTGCTAATTTAATAGAGGAATGGACGGTACAAAATTTGGTGTCAAAATAGTTTATAGAAAAAAAATTAAAAATAAAAAAGTATAGAGATATGACATTGTGATTGAGGTAATCTTAACCCTCTATTAAAAAAATCGATGGTTGGATGAAAGGGATGATAGAACTTCCATGTTGAAGGGGGAACGTATAAATGTTTCCCTTGTATTATATAACAAAACCAACAGATACACATTTTTAATTTTTTTTATATATCACATCACTCATCTGTACGTAAAATAATTATCTATGTGTTCCTTTGAGAACAAACTGTATATTGGATCTACACAAAAATAAAAAACATTTAAAAAAAGAAAAATAAGAAAACTTCTTTGGATTATATTATGTATTTAAAAATTTACTGTTAAATGAGTAATTTAAAAAGAACAAAAAGGATATTGTGGTGAGGGATCATATTTCCAAACGAACATACTATCCATTCGTAAGTTCTATTATGACTACTAGTTCATTCAATTATACCACTAATTACCTCATAAAATAGACTCATTATACTTCTGCCTATTTTTTTACTTTGGCAACTCGTCCTTTGACTTGTTATTTTATTTATATTTAAATTAATCCATCCTCTTAAATACTATATTAAATGATATACAAAGCAATCTCCATATTTTTTGTGTTTCCCCCTACAATATTACAATTAGTAAAGCCAAAAAATTTCCACCCATAAAATGATATTTGACAAATTTTTTTTCCAAAATAAACTTCTATGTATTAAAAAAAACTTATGCCTCAATATTGAATAGAGAATGTCCAATTTTTGGAGGGCTAAATATAAAACTTAAAATTATTTTTTTTTAAAAAATAACCATCTAGTAATTATTTTGTGTTTCTCAAAATTTATAACAAGCTAAATAGGTGTTTTGAGCAGAGGGAGGAGATGCACAGAATGTTCCCGCGGAAGCACTCATTAATAAAGCAAAATTTTACAACCGAACCTGTCTGTTCTATTCCGAACCACGCGTTGCGCACGAGCCTAACTCCGGTATATAAATAGCTATAAAAGACTTAGGGTTTGTGTACCCCCTTGAATTCCAGAGGCAGGCGACAGAACCTGATACCAACTTCGAGATCGGCCTTCAAGCTTTTAGGGCACGAAAATGGTACTCGCTCTCCTCCTTCATGGCTTTCTATAGGACTATAACATTTATATCCTCTCTTATCCATTATTACTTGAACGAAGGTTTCTTGAAGGTTGGAAAAATGGTATTCTCTACTTTATTGCAGTTTTCATGCTATACCTATGGTTTCTTTAAGAACTTTGCTGTATTCTTAAACTTACTGTTTAATTTTAACCTAGATAATCTTCACTTGCTACTTGTTTTCTGCGAAAATTGTCAATTTAAGCTTGTTGTTTGTTTATTTATTGTGTTTTTTACCTAAAAGAAAATATCCGAATGCAAAGGTTCTGATATACTGTTGCTTTCTGTTGACAAATTGTTGAAAACTTATATTTATTTATTTTTATGCAACAATTACATCTAAGTTATGATGTTATTCACATTCTTGTGCCTTTACATTATTAGATAGCTTAATATACATCGCTCTCTTTTATTGACATATTCTCTGTAAAACATTGATCTCAATTGTTTTGTTCTCATACTATACCTTTTCTATATAATAAAGTCTTCTATTCATAGGTCTTTTTCATATGTTGTGCTTTTCCATACTACAGATCTTGTACCATATCTAATGTTATTTGCATCCTGAATTTTTCTCTCCAGTTTTGTATGTTGAGCTGTTGGTTTTGAAGTGTTTTCATGGCTGATATTAGTTTAATTTTTTGAAACACTTTGTTATAATATCTTGGTGAGTGTTTTAGGAGGCGCTAGTGCCAGCACTTCTTACTTGCGGCGGAGCAAATGAAAAGGATTGAATTGTTCTACCATGAAATCCCCCAATAAAATCTCCCATCGAGAGGGAGAGGGAGAGGGAGAGGGAGGGAGCAACAAACAAAAGAAAGGGAACCCCTCTCCCTCCTTAGGGAGCGGCTTAACTGTCCAAGGCGACACCTTTTAATAAACTGATTAGAGGCCAATCCTTTGGCAGTTCATATTTATTTTGTCAGAGATATGGATTTGTCTCTGTTGTCTTAGGCAATTCATATTACAAAAATGCTCCATCTATGAGCGTACTACTGTTTAAGCTAACTGTCAATTTAAGTTTTTGAGTATGGAATTTGGGTCATTGATTTATTTGCGAAATAGGCGCATGTTTTCCCATAAAAAGAAAATGCATCTTAGTCTATGAACTAGCATTAGTTCTATGAGATTATGTATTATTTGATAATGGTGTGTGCATTGTCCCATCTTAGTTGAGAAATTTTGTAATAAAGATATATTTTCTAAATATATTTTTACTGAAATATGACGTACTTTTGTATTTAATTTCACTGTGGTACATTTTGGAATAGAATATATTTTAGTGCTTGTCATTGGTCATGTCAATGGCCTTAAGTTAACTTTCAAAAGGAAATTGCATTTAGGATTTGGTGATGGGTCGTATGACAGGAGAGGTTTGTTATACTTTTAACTTTTTTTACATGATCTCTTCCTTGCTCCTTTATTCTTGGGGTTTCTCAACATTCACTATGTTTTCTCCCTTCTCTAGGGTTTCCTACCCATGTAAGCACTGTGAATCCTTGAAATGCTTATTTTGTAGCTTCTCAGCGTCCCGGTTTTCTGCTGTTATGTGTAGGCATTACGGTGCCTCTGAGCATTATGATTAAGCTAAATGCTTATAAGAGTGCTCGTTATTTCTAAAATCCCTAGGGTTTTTGGATGTTTTAGTTTGCAAAGGCAGAAGTGTTTCTCAAAGTCTAGGATTTTAAACCCTAAAATTTTTCTCTGCAACATTTTTCATTGCACGATGCAAACCCCGGGCTTCTCCTAAATTCTTTCTTGAAGATGAAGGCCCCAATGCCCGTGCAATAAGATTCAGCTGTTTAGTGTTGCAGGTTGGCTAATCTATTGGTCTGTGCCTGTGTCAAAGCAACAGCAACATGTTCCTTTTGATAAGAAATTTTGCAGGTTTTTATCTCCGTTGGTACAAGAAAAATAATGTCCCAGGTCTTTTATCATCTTAGTTGTTCACTTTATCAAAGAAGACATGAATGCTATGCCACAACTTAAGCTTATGGAGTTATTGGTGCCGTATAAGCTCATGCATGGAGGCAGAAACCAAGCATGGCGAGCTTAACATGTGCACATTCTAATTTCTATGGTTTAGTGTGCAAAAACTTCGCCACACTAGTTGGATTCTTCTGGTATATCGTTATGCTGTTTTATATTATTTATTTTCCTTTTTTCTAGTTTATATAGGATTTTGATTTGAATTTTTTCATGGGTTTGTATTTGAAGCTATGTTTTTGTTGAAAATATTCTATATATAATATACTGTAGTCATCCCGTTCTTATGGATTTAGAGATACATGGTATAATCTCAGTTTCCCTTTTTATTTAAAGACTTCTAGGGGGCTCCAGTTGCATGGTGTTTTATATTTATTTTGTTGTTAGATGTCATATTTACTGTGATGCTTCTAACCCTATGGAATAATAACTACTCGGTGTGATTAATGAACTGGATATTCTTGGTTGGTTTATATTAATTATTTGTATGTTTTACCTCCTGATGATGATTTTGTCCATGTTGGAGATACCGGGGTTCCAAGTCCTTGTTTTACAAGGAGAACCTACTTGGAGTCGCCCTTGTATTCATGTGACATAATTGGATATTATCTGAAGCTATATTGCTAAAGTTATCTTACAATAATTTTTAAATGCATCGCGGTTATATATTTATGATTTGAATTCAGTTCTCTGTAAAAGATGTTGTTTGTTCGGACTGGTAGCTTTTACAGTTCGAAATTTTTTCTTTAAAAAAATTTTAAATTTGTTCTTCTAAATTTTGCGTACTTACCTTTCTCAACGACAAAATAACCCCATGACGTGTGCAATAAATTTCCTCAATTGTATTTTTTTTTCTTTCTATGGAAAGGATACTTTATTTAAAGGTTTTATTTATATATTCGGGTATTACTTTCTGTTTTGTTTTTGTTGGACTTGTGCGTTCCTTCTTCTTTTAGACAGGACATTTTAGTTGTTATAGTTCAGACATCCCTTGTTTTCTCCCAACCTTGAACCTCTTTGGAAGTTATGCCTCCCCTGCTATGCTTTTGGAAATTGGAAGAGTGAATGTGCATGGATAGGGACATTGGCAAGAAGCAAGGTGGTTATTAGAGAAGTGGTCTTAAAGGGAAATCTGGTCTTGGTGAGGTTGATAATGGTGAAATGGGTTGTGGCAACTTGTTGTGAGGTTTCATGTAAATGTATAATCCTTTAAAAAAAAAATGAAATTTAAAATCAAACTCTAGGAAATGCTGTCGGTGGAGCACTTTATCGGGATACGCTGATTTTGCATATTCTTTTTGGGGTTTGATACAGAAGCTTGTGCATTCTAATTGAAAATAAAAAACAGGAAAATTGTAATCTAGAAAAAGTAGTCATATTCATAGATGTGCTTCTGGAGGGATAATTGAGCTTCATATGATGGTTACCATGGTCACTGCTTTGCCAGTATTCTTATTTCAAATTTGTTATATCACAGTTTCAAGTGGCACTGACACTATTCTGATGCCACATGCTTTTCCATAAATGTTACTACCTTTCATGTTCTACAGTGAGATTCTTGTATGTGCGTTCTTTTTGAGTCTTCTCACTTAAACTTGAGTATCATTTCCGAAACACGGAAATTTGATGGAGTTGCTTTATTTTTTCAACTCCTTTTTCCCCATACTTTTTAATCAATTGTAATTTTTTTTCCCGTGAGTACATGTTTCAGTTTCTATGAATCGAATTTTTTGTGCTACTCACTCCTATATTTGTCAAAGGTGATGTTCACATTTCTTTGCATGATGTTGTTGCTACTATTCCCAGTGACATCTCCATTTCTTCTTTTGCAGACCAAGCGCACAAAGAAGGCTGGCATCGTTGGCAAATATGGTAAGTCGGTTTCTTCATGCTTTGAAAGGGATGCTTGAACCTACTTCTTTGATGGTCTGTGCGTGTCATGGAGTCGGTCTGTTCAGCTATTTACATTAACAAGGGAGCTAGTCATGCATACATATTTACATGCATTTATTTTGTGATTTACGTAACTAGTATGTACGTGTAATCATGGTGAAGTAAATAAACTGTGAAAGGGGTAAAAATGTGAATATATACATGCATACACCTCTATTGCCATACATACATTTTCATGTACATATGATACACGTTTATGATGATTGCAAAACGATTAGGGTATGGAAAGTGGAGAATTGGGACACAGCGATGGGTTTCATTCATAAGTCAGAGATACATACATCCTTGGGATATTTACACTGGAAACCAGTGATGATTGCATTCACAACCAGAAATGCATTTATGTGTCTATCTATCTCTGACTAGTTTCCTAGAGTTTGGGATTGTATTTCTTATTATTGGAAACTTTTTGCTTATTTTTGACGCTGACAAGTTATTTCATTTTTTATTTTTGTAATGTTGCATTTATGTTTTACATGTGTCAGCTCATTTTTTTTGATTGACAGATTACTTGTTGCTTATTTTTAAATCATAAATTTGGAAATTACAATACTTCAGGTACCCGATATGGTGCCAGTTTGCGTAAGCAGATCAAGAAGATGGAAGTCAGCCAGCACGCCAAGTACTTCTGCGAGTTCTGTGGAAAGGTATCATTATATCATTCTTGTTGAGGCCTATCTCGTTATAGGAAGGGAATGCAAATGAATTTATTTACCATTTATATGAGTTGATTTTCTTGTGCTAGGTTTTATTTTTTCTTTTTGAAATGAGCCTTCATTATTGAAAGGACAGAATAATAGGAAAATATTTTGTGGATAAGACACCTGAGGGAGAAAGTTTAGCATCAGTCTTTGCTTCATCTTCCCATCCTTATTCCAATTATTTGGGTTGGGCAACACGAATCCTGTTCCTCCATTCTTCTATATCAAGGGCCATACTATAATGGGTTCAGGATTCATGATAGCATCGTTCTTTGCTTCTCTTCCAAAATACACATTCTATAGTCTTACTTCAACTTTGCTTTTATACTTGAAAGATATCTCCATTTTTCTTTTTTTTCCCTGTTGTTTCTTTGCTTCAATGTTAAGTGGGAGTGATACAATGAGTTAAAGTTATGATTCAATTTGGTATCCTGCAGTATGCTGTGAAGAGAAAGGCAGTGGGAATATGGGGATGCAAGGACTGTGGCAAAGTGAAGGCTGGTGGTGCTTATACCCTAAAGTGAGTACATGTTCCTATTGGTTTATATTGAAGGTTTGATTTGGTCGAGTCGACCCAGAACTGGCAGGTAGCCTGTCTGATTTTATCTTGAATGATTTAAGGTTGCTGCACTTTATTTGAACATATCTGGTTACGTTTTTTGGTCTGGGTAAGTCAGCCAAGCCAAGTCATCAACTTGGCCGTTTTTATTCAGACCCGTTGGTGATGGGTTTTTGACCTATCGGTCCGATTTTTAGATCTCTGGTTTGTATTGATGTTGGGGTTTTGATTCGTTTTTTCTCAACATTCATGGCTTTCCTCTAGTCCTATATTAATTATATCACTGATGCTACAAAAACTGGTTTAAGTTTCTTCAAAAAAAAAAAAAAGCTCATTTATATTTTCAGTGGTTTTTTTTACTAGATTAATTTACTGGTCGTGAGTCTGACCTCTCTCTTCCTCTCTATACTTGTAGCACTGCGAGTGCTGTGACAGTGAGGAGCACCATTAGAAGGTTGAGGGAGCAAACGGAGGGGTAATTTCCTAGATACTGATTCATATGTATCCATCTCTTCTTTTTTTTGTACCCGAGAATTGTCTCTCATTGATTGGGATATTTTCTAGTTTAGGTTTCAGCCATACTCTTTTAAACATAAATCATCTCTTGAGAAGTTCACAGAAAAAAGCTTCTTTAGTTACATTATGGAGTTAATTGCTTTTGGCCTTTATCAAGAAAATATGAAGGTTTCACATAAAACCCTCAAGGCTCTGGTTGGATTTCGATGTATCACTATTTTAAAACATGGATCTGTCAGATGGATTCCCCACCAATTGATCCTAGTCTGGAGTGGCCTAGTAGGCCATCCAGATCGTTTGGATCATTGTTAAAGAGGGGGTCGGGAGAAGTTATATTAAATAATGGTGCGATTTGTATAAGGTGTCCATCGTTATGATGCCTTGAAAATTTATTCCCACATCCCACTATGAAATTTAAAGCGAAAAAAATGGCTTCGATTAATCCGATAGGACAATATTGAAAATAGATTTATAGATAATATAATACGAGATGTCTATTCTAGGACTTGAAGTCTTTTTTATTTGTATCTATGCATCATGAGTTCGATATGTTTAATTAGAGGATTTCTATCCGATATTGTCACTTAAAAGATTTTCAAACAATCCGTGGTTTTTGAAGCATCTTATTTGTTGCTTTGTATACGGTTGGTGCTTTGTATCAACTATCAAGGGTTTGGTTTGCATAAGTCGATCAAATTAAGGCGCACCCAAACAAGGAAATTAAGTCGCACCTCTAAATTTTTATTATTAGTTGTAATTTTGGTGCCAAAAATTCTTAGCATAACTTCCAGTAAATTGTCGTAAGATGCACCGTGTTTTTGAAACTTGAAATTAATTTTCTTTCATATCCAAATTTTTTTGTCAAGATGATCAATTAGATGGCTTTCTAATATCGAAACCTCTTCTAATGGATATTTTGGTACACCTTAATTCTACATTCTAAGATTGCATCCGTATATAAACTTTTTCGTTGTATAAATTTTTGCTATTAGATAATTCGTCAAGATGTTTACAATTGTGGCCCCTTATCTTTTAAGCTAAAAGTCTGCTGTCTGCCAATAAAATTACTGGACATTTTATTACAAATTGAGCACATTATATATTATGAGGTGGAATTGCCAATTCCAACAAAACGTATATTATGAGCTGGATTTGCCGATTCCAACGAAAACGGTGTGTGGTGTTTCTCTATCTGATTGGCATATAAATTTGTTTAATGTGAGGTTACAAGAGGATAATTTTAATGGGTGTGGTTTGTATAAAGTTAACCTTAATGAGTGTGGTTTGTATAAAGTTGCAACCTTGAACAATCAAAATAATGTGTACTTGTTATCTTGTAGCTATAAAAATTTTTATTTTAAGAAGTGGTTCAAATCAAGTGAATCTATAAACATACCAAAATCTTGAAAATGGATGGTCTAGCTAATGTATTTCAAGATATGTTATTTTTTGGACTCAAGGTTTTTTATTTTATACAGTTTTATATAGGCGTACATCCGAATGTCTAGATGATTATTTAGAGGGTTTTAACATTTGAAGTGCCTTTTTTGGTTGCAGCCCAACGTACACTTTTTCCAAATTTAAATAATGAGGTTTTTAGTGAGAGAGACTGCAGGGTTACCGGAGTAATATTAAACAATGTGTGGTTGAGAGAGAGAGAGAGCCTTAAAGAGAGTATTTTGTATGAAAATCTAATTATAAAGAGAGAGAGAGAGAGCCTTAAGGATAGTTCTTTGTATGAAAATCTAACTATAAATCAGCAGTCAGACAATCAGAGAGGGAAAGAGAGCCTAAAAGATTGTGCTCTGTATGAAAATCTAACTGCTAAGTTTGGAGTCGGACATAATCATACGACAAATAAGTCCTTATTTGATTATGTTGAATATTGAATAGATGATGAATGCATCCAATCGCAATCTCCTGTTATTGGATTTGTTCCAATGGGGGTTCTCATTTTCTCTCAGCTCATTTGGGAAAGCCATCCGATGTATTTAAAACTTTAAAAAGTACATGCAAAATGGTATCAATATGAACAATTGAAAATATATTAATATGGATTCAGAATATTAGGACGTACGTGTCAAGAGTTTTTAATATCTTTGAAGTGCTGTACCAAACTTTGAATATATATGTTTTAATGATAAATTTACATAATTATCGCCTATCCTTTTTGACATTTAATGATATGCTTAATATGTCATATAGTACATTTGTCCTATATTCGAAAAGGACAGTACTTCATTTTTTTTTCTCTATTTAGCATTGAAGCCAAGCCTTTTCTTTTAGAATACTCACTTAAGTCCGTCCTCACACTTCTAACACTGCTTTCACTCCCTTTACTTAACGTAGAAGGCGACTCTCATTTCTAGTGGGGACAAAGAATTGCATCGGGCATGATAGTTTGGTAGTGTAGTTTGCTGTATAAATAAAGGTAGTTTTTTATGATAATAATAAAAAATCACAAGTCTTTAAGAGGCAGTAGTTTTTCATAATCAAATAAAAAAATCACAAGTCTTTGAAAGGCCCATATCATATTGTGCTCAATTTCTGTATATCTCTATACTTCTCACCATTGCGCATTTGTAAAAAAATACAATATAATTAAATAAAAATAAAATTAAGAAAATATCTTTCACAATATTAAGGGGTATCTTTATCATTTTATTTATTAAAAATTATTATTATTATATCTTTTATAGGTCCATTATCGGTAAAAACATGGAAATCCAACATTTGAGCTCAACCCAATCTACAAATGTCCTTTTATAAAAGAGGCATGCACATAAAATATGAATTATTAAGAACGGGTTTTAACAAATTTTGACGGTGGCTGTCCACCAAACATAACTATGCCCATTTATTTGGGAATGACATCTAGGAATTGGATGAGTTAAGAGAAAGTTTAAAATCATCACCTTTTTTAGTCCTCATAAAATATAGAGATTTATGGTTACATTGAGGATATAACTTTTAATAAAACAAAATGAAAAATCATAATCTACGTAGTAGTCGATCTCAATTAATCAGAAAAATGATAAAATGGTGATAATAATTAAAGACTTTTTTTAAAATGTTTAAGACATGGTGGATATTTTTCCTTGAACAGCTGGCGCAATCATTGAGCTCTTGCCTATTGAGTTTGAGTGGATAAAAAGTGAATTGTTTGAGAATTTATTGGAATATATTATTGATTTGGTTTGCTTTGATTTGATTGCAAATCCGAGGTCTTTGGAAGGCAAACCCAAAAGGAGATTTTACAGCAAACAAATTGACTTTGGGGGCCAACAGAAAGGGTCTTCAATAACAAATAAATAAATCAATGGACTAGATGGCGATAAAGTATGAAAATAAAATTTTGATTGATTGATTGGATTGGAGGGTTAGACTGATTTCCTTTTGTCACCATATAAGCCACTTATAACTACTTTGCCTATTACTGCAATCAATTAATTCGTTATTAGGCATTGCATGAGAGTCAAATTAAAGTCGTTGGATGAAGAACTGCCAATGGTCGGGGTATATATTAGTATAGAAATACGTTAAGAATATTATATAATATAAAATATATTTTATAATTTTTTATAATATATATGCCCATACACCTCGACGTTGCCATGATTGATGAAGGACTCTCCAGTATCGAAATACTCTCTTCTGAAAGATTTTTAAGGTTTAACTTAGTTCCAATAATAACAGCTTCCAACCTTATATAACGTACTATTTCAAGATTATTTTAAAAAATTTAAAAATTTGAATTCTATCACTTTGATGTTGCTGGACCGCAAAAAAAAAAAATTGGGTAGTGGTAGAGAGAGAATGAGGGAGAGTAGAGAGAGAAAGTGAGGGAGGGTAGAGAGAGAGAGAACGAGAAATGGGTAGAGAGAGAAAGAGAGGATGGGTGGAGAGAGAAAGTAAGTGGCATTATTGTAAAACAATGAGCAGAGCTCCAAACAGGGCCTAAGCCTTTTCACAGAGACTAATATGTAATTTGCATTACAAAAATGTAATATGCATTACAAAAGTCCCAAATGTGGCCAAATATATACATAAACATCACATAGATGTACATAAATTTACTGGTTGAGATGTGCATGGATTAAGTCCTTGAAGACCCACTTAGGCAAGTTGCCTCTATTTCAACATCCACACAACTGGCCTTGATACATGAACATCACTGGTTAACTCTAGGACCCACTTTCACAGGCAAGAGAGAGAGAGAGAGAGAGAGAGAGAGAGAGAGAGGTAGGGTAGGGAAGGGAGGGAGGAGCTACACGCGAGAGAGAGAGAGAGAGAGAGAGAGAGAGAGGAGGAGGAAGGGAGAGGGAGAATCTCTCATGTGCCTTGCAGGTTCCAAGTTCAAGAGTCTTGACTTGTTCCAAGAAAAAAAGAAGAAATTTTTTTTTGGGCCCTGCCCTTCCCTAATGGATGTTTACCTTACTTAAGAAAAATAGAGAGAGGAATTGTAACCTCCTCCTACTACTTCCAACATGTGTACATATTGCAAGCAAAAACACACAGTTGAAAGTTCCACTAATGAGTGAGTGGCCACTTTCTACAGTATGATTTGAAGCTTCTCTCTCCTTCCATGTATGCTGATTTCTTTGAAGAAGTTGAGGAAGAAGAAACAGAAGATGAAAATGATGAGTGAGAAGATGAATTTTTAGAGAGAGAATGTGAATTCTCACCAAAGTCCACCCTATCTTCCTCAAAAATGGTATCCAAACTCCTCTGGGTTTGCCTTCTAACCACTGACACAAAAGTGGGTGGTGCAACCTCAAAAACCATCTTACCAACTCTAACCTTTGCCATCATGGATGCCTCAACAGAGCCCAAGAAATCTAGAGAGAGAAACACAACTTGGGTGTATATAAGCTCAAGAGATCTAGAGAGAGAAACACCACTTAGAAGATATGAAGAAAGAGAACCTAAAAACACAATGTATGTGATGTGAATTCTCCCGAGGAAAAGCAAGCTTCCAGAGTCTCCTAGAGAGAGAAAACCCAACAAGAGAGAGAAAGGTACAATTAGGAAATCCTCTTAAAGAGAGAAAAAAGAGAGAGAAATCACGTCTTAGAAGGGAGGAAGTTATAAATCCTCTTAAAGAGAGAAAGAAGAGAGAGAAATCACCTCCTAGAAGGAAGTTATATGAGTTTTTCCCTATTTCTCTCTCTAAAAAACAAG